GGTTTCTCTGCCTAGACTTCTCCCTGTTACACGACCCTCCATTTGCCAGTATTGTGGCATGTAATCCATCACTGCTTCTGGTCTTTGCATCGAGGGATTCACAACTCTCCCTATCAGAGTGAGATGATGTTGAGCGATAAGGGAGGATGTATCTTCCTCAGGTATACGAATTGGTGAGCGTCTAAGAGATGGGCTCTGGCTCTGGGATGAGACCCATTTGCCTTTCTCCTGCCGTGAATATCTCTGAGACATGGTAACTTATAGTTGTGCAGATTGGAACTATATAGAGAACAAAGAGTACAGAGACATGAGCTCAAATCACAGGTTTGAGAGCTACTTTCTCTGTATAGATTCTAAAAAAAAGAGTAATTTCAAAGTTCTGCATATTGCAGTAAGATGGGGATAACTCTAGGTGGAGATATGTGGGGAAAAAAACTTAACCCATGGGGGTTAAACGGTTGCTTAGAAGCTGAGAATCTTCTCTAATCTCTGAAACGGAGGCTAATAGAGAAGCTTGTGGAAGTGGGGAAGACTCCCACGGAAAGATCTCCATTCCCTTGTTGGAAACCAACTCTGGATTCTTTTAATTTAGGCACAAAACCGGATAGTTGAAATTTTTGAAAAAACCGGGGTAGCTTTTTTGGGAAATAAAGCGGATAGAAATTTGAATTTTGAACTAAACCAGCTATCTCAATACTCTCTAGAGAAACGGGTCTGAGAGAGAAAAGATACTTATAGCGGGCATTATTTATTTGTTTCAAAATTAAAATCTCTAGTCTCTTGATATTTCGATTTTATCTCTCAATTTACATATAACCTTTGAATATGTTCAAAGGAGAAAAAACGAAAAAGGTGATAACTTAGCAAAATCAGCTTTCTCTTTGTACTCAGTTCAACCCGGTTCACAGCCGGTTTAGCTTCAATTAAATCATAATTTTCGACCAAAACAAAAAAATACAATTTAAAAATGGAATCACGAGCTAACTAATTATAAAATCCTTCACATTTTATATATGTCTAATAGTTAGATACAAACCATTAATCTTAAAATGTCTTAAAATTATTCATATTTTATAAGAAGCCAAATTCAGATCTTATGAAATATGAAATTATTCATATAAAAAATAGAAGCCAAATTCAGATCTTATGAAATATGAAATTATTCATATAAAAAACAGATGTGCGAATAACATATTATATACTTAAAAATGTAATCTTTTATACTCTTAATCATATCCACTTTAAATAATCCAACCCGCGTAACGCGCGGGCCAGTTAGTCAAATTGGTTTAAGACCATATATATATGCTATAATTAAATTCCACAACTGATGATCGAACATGGGTAGTTTACTATCCACATAATAATATTATAAATGTATAATTCAGTTGTACAGTCTTTCACGCAACACAGCCTATATATCCATACAAATAGACGTCATTCGCAATACATCCGGAAACATTCAACAAAATTCAATGGGACCATCAAGAATTTTCCCTTCGTGGCGCATATTCCTCGCTTTACGTTGTATATTCACACTACTCGTGTTCACTGCGGTCTCAACACCTCCCGAAGATCCCGTCAAGTGTGCCTCAGGGAATACGGATTGTACGGTCACCAACTCAGTAGGAATCTTTGCAGACCGGTCCACATGTCTAGCTGCCAACGTGGCATATCCGACCACAGAGGCCGAGCTTGTCTCTATTGTGGCTGCAGCCACTAAAGCCGGCCGAAAAATGCGTGTGACCACGCGCTACTCACATAGCGTACCAAAGCTGGTGTGCACCGATGGTACGGATGGATTACTCATAAGCACAAATTTTCTTAACCACACGGTGCGGCCCGACGCAAAAGCCATGACATTGACGGTTGAGAGCGGCGTGACGCTTAGGCAACTAATTGCTGAAGCGACTAAGGTTGGATTGGCATTGCCTTATGCACCGTATTGGTGGGGACTAACCGTGGGTGGTCTATTGGGAACCGGTGCTCATGGGAGCTCGTTGTGGGGTAAAGGAAGTGCGGTCCATGATTATGTGACCGAGATCAGGATGGTTAGTCCTGGCTCGGTCAACGATGGGTTTGCAAAGATTAGAGTTTTAAGTGAGACTACGACTCCTAGCGAATTTAACGCCGCAAAGGTTTCGCTTGGTGTTCTTGGCGTTATCTCTCAGGTTAGATCAATTAGAATTTCATATTTTTGTGCTTTACTACTACAAAAAAAAATGTAGTATAGTTGTAAGATAACCCGTTTAAATTTCAATTGTTTCTTTGTTAGGTTACTTTTAAATTGCAACCAATGTTCAAGAGGTCGATAACATATGTTATGGAAAATGATTCGGATTTCGGAGATCAAGCCGTGACTTTTGGGAAGAAACATGAGTTTGCGGATTTCGTATGGTTACCGAGCCAAGGCAAAGTGGTGTATCGAAAGGACGACCGAGTACCGGTCAACACATCAGGAAACGGTTTGTATGATTATCTGCCGTTTCGTTCCCAACTCTCCGCCATCTCAGCCATCAGAAGAACCTCAGGTTCATGTTTTTAATTATCTCTAAAAGCT